TTTGACCAAAGGTTTAGAGAACAATTAGTAGCAATCCTTCACAAACTCTTTCTAATTATATATATATATATATATATGTATGTATATAATTATTATTTTTTTTTAGAGAGAGAGAGAGACAGGATCTGACCGTGTTGTCCAGGCTGGACTCAAATTCCTAGGCTTGAGTGATTCTCCTACCTCACTCTCCTGCGTGCACCACCATGCTGGCTTTGGAGTTTGGGGGTTCTGTTATTAGGTATATACATATAATTGTTTAAATTTCTTGATGGATTGACCTTTATCTCATTATGAAATGTTCTTTGTCTTTAGCAATAATTTCGTCTTAAAGTCTACTTGGATATTATTAAATAGTAGACGAACTCCCGCTGTCCTTCAGCCACTGTTCGCTTGGTATGTCTTTTTGCACCTTTTCCTCTCAACCTATTTGCATCTTTGAATACAAAAATCTCTCTGTTGCAGGCAGTATAGTGTTGGTTCATGGTTTTGCAGCCATTCTGCCAATTTTTGCCTCTAATCTGAGTGTTTAATCCACTTACATTTAATGTAATTGCTGATAAGGTAGAAATTACATCTGGCATTTACCTATTTGTTTTACATCTATCTTGTATCTGTTTTTGTGTTTGTTTTTGAGACAGAGTCTTGCTCTTGTCACCCAGGCTGGAGTGCAGTGGTGCGATCTCAGCTCACTGCAACCTTTAGCTCCTGGGTTCAAGCAATTCTCTTACCTCAGCCTCCTGGGTAGCTGGGATTACAGGTACCCACCACCATGCCCAGCTAATTTTGTATTTTTATTAGAGACGGGATTTCACTGTGTTGGTCAGGCTGGTCATAAACTCCTGACCTCAGGTGAGGAGGCCTCAGCCTCCCAAAGTGCTGGGATTACAGGTGTGAGCCACTGTGCTGGCCATGTCTTGTGTCTTTTTTGTCACTCTATTACACTGTTACTGCCTTCTTCTTGTTAAGTAGCTATTTTCTAGTGTACCATTTTAATTCCTTTGTCAAAAAGCATGAATCATGAAAGAAAAATTTGGTAAGTTGGATATCATCAAAATTGCAAATGTTTACTCTCTGAAAGTCATGGTTAAAAAATGAAAAGGCAGCCAGGTGTGGTGGCTCAAGCCTGCAATCCCAGCACTTTGGGAGGCCGAGGCGGGTGGATCACGAGGTCAAGAGATCGAGACCATCCTGGTCAACATGTTGAAACCCCGTCTCTACTCAAAATACAAAAAATTAGCTGGGCATGGTGGCGCATGCCTGTAATCCCAGCTAATCAGGAGGCTGAGGCAGGAGAATTGCCTGAACCCAGGAGGCGGAGGTTGCGGTGAGCCGAGATCGCACCATTGCACTCCAGCCTGGGTAACAAGAGCGAAACTCCGTCTCAAAAAAAAAGAAAATGAAAAGGCAAGCCACAAACTAGGAGAAAATAATCACAAAACATATATCTTATAAAGGACTTGTATCCTGAATATATTACTTACAATTCAATAATAAGAAAACAAATGACTCAGCAAAAACAAATGAGTAAATATTCAAATAGTCACTTTACCAAAGAACATATACAAACAGCAAGTAAACACCTGAAGAGATGCTCGGTATCTTTAGTCATTGTGGAAATGCAAATTAAATCCAGGAGTTAATACTACACACTCTCTTGAATGGTAAAATATCAAAAGTCTCACAATATCAAGTGTTGCAAGAATATGAAGTACCTGAACCTCTCATACGATTGCCAGTGGAAAAGCGAAAGAGTATTCCAACTTTGGAAAGTAATCTTGTAAAGTTTCTTATAAAGTTAAAAATGTATTTATCAGGCCAGGTATGGTGGCTTACGCCTATAATCCTAGCACTTTCCGAGGCTGAGGTGAGTGGATCACTTGACGTCAGGAGTTCGAGGCCAGCCTGGCCAACAGAGTAAAACCCCGTCACTACTAAAAAATATAAAAACTAGCAGGGCGTGGTGGCAGGTGCTTGTAACCCCTGTAACTCCCCTACTCGGGAGGCCGAGGCAGAAGAATCACGTGAATACAGGAGGTGGAAATGCAGTGAGCCAAGATGGAGCCACTGCACTCCAGCCTGGGCAACAGAGTGAGACTCCATCTAAAACAAAACAAAACAAGACACAGAAAAAATTATAACCCAACAATGCCATTCCTTGGGTGTTAAGATAAAAATCTAGGTCCATCTTGAAAATGAGAGAAGTGGATTTTAAGTGTCCTCACCACAAAAAATGGAAAGTATGCGAGGTCATGTGCTAAGTAGATCAGGTTAATTATTTCAACTTAGTCATTCCACAATGTATACATATTTCAAAACATAGTACATGATGAATTTATAGAATTTTTCTTTGTCAGTTTAAATAATTGCTTAAAAAGAAAATCCACACCCAGATAAAGACTTGAACGTAAATGTTCATAGGAGCTTTATTCTTAATAGCCCAAAACTGGAAACAACTCCGTGTTGACGAATGTGTAAGTGAATAAACAAACTGTGGCATATCCATACAGGGAATATTGCGCAGCATACACGACATCAGAAGCAATAGGCTAACGGAGAGAAATCAGACACAGACCATATGCTTTATGATGCTACTTATACAAAATTCTAGAAAAGTCAGACCTTTAGCAACAGAAGGCAGACCGGCAGGGTTCAGAAGTGAAAGGAGGGGATGGACTGCAAAGAGCCATGCAGAAACCTAGAGAGTGATGGAAATCGTCTGTAACTTACTTGGCGAGGTGGTCATAGAATTGTCTGTCAAAACTCATTGAGCTGTGCACTTAAAATTGGCGAGTTTGATACATATAAATGATACCTCAGTAAAGAAAAGAGAATTAGCACTAGCAACAAAAATATAAGGTACTAGGAATTAATGTAATGAAATGCAAAACCCTTCATGAAGAAAATAAGACTGGCCGGGCGTGGTGGCTCACACCTGTCATCCCAGCACTTTGGGAGGCTGAGGCGGGTGGAGCATGAGGTCAGGAGATCGAGACCATCCTGGCCAACGGTGAAACCCCGTCTCTTGCAAAAATATAAAGGTTAGCCAGGGATGGGGGCAGGTGCTTGTAGTCTCAGCTACTCTGGAGGCTGAGGCAGAAGAATCGCTTGAACCTGGGAGGCGGAGGTTGCAGTGAGCTGAGATCGTGCCACTGCACTCCAGCCTGTGCAACAGAGTGAGACTGTCTCAAAAAAAAAAAAAAAAAAAAAAAAGAAAAAAGAAAAGAAAATGATAAGACTGTGTTGAAAGAATTGGCAGAGACAGTTCATACGCAGCAAAGATTCCAGGTGACCTCCCACACAGCACAGCCTCCCCTGCAGTTACACTGTGGCCTTGTGACAATGGAATTTGAGCGTGCATGATGTTCACGCTGAGACGTAGTTCAGATGGGGTATCTCTTCTAGTTGTCTCTTCTCCCCCCACAGTGATCTTGGAGAATGGGGGTTCAGTTAAAGTTGGTATCTGTGAGGAAGATGGCTGCATGGGCTACTCAAGACTTTGCCTGAGCTAGAATAAAGGTTTACTATCTTAAACCTTGAAATTTGGGGCTTTTTATGCTGGGGCTGTTAGTGCTCATTAATACAAAAGACATTAAAGAAGACCCAAATGTGGGGAGAGTTATACCCTATTCATCCATAGGAATACACATTTCTGTAACAACGTCAACGTAATTTCCATCAGAAGCCCACTGGGCTCTTCATGCACCTCAACAGATTCTAAAATGTCTGTGGTTGTGCAAAGACTGGAGTAGCCAAGACATTCCTTAAGAAGAAGGTGGGGGCTGGGCGCAGTGGCTCATCCCTATAATCCCAGCACTTCCCGAGGCTGAGTTGGGTGGATCACCTGAGGTCAGGAGCTCGAGACCAGCCTGGTCAACATGGTGAAACCCCATCTCTACTAAAAATATAGAATTAGCCGGGCGTGGTGGCGGGTGCCTGTAATCCCAGCTACTCAGGGGGCTGAGGTAGGAGAATCACTTAAACCATGAAAGTGGAGCTTGCAGTGAGCTGAGATCGCGCCACTGCACTCCAGCCTAGGCAACAAGAGCAAGACTGTCTAAAAAAAGGTGGGGATGGGGCGCGCTGGGCACGTGGCTCATGCCTGTAATCTCAGCACTTTGGGAGGCTGAGGCCAGTGGATCACGAGGTCAGGCATTCGAGACCAGCCTGGCCAACATAGTGAAACCCTGTCTCTACTAAAAATACAAAAAAAAAAAAAAAAAAAAAATTAGCCAGGCATGGTGGCAGATGCCTGTAATCTCAGCTACTCTGGAGGCTGAAGCAGGAGAATTGCTTGAACCTCGGAGGCAGAGGTTGCAGTGAGCTGAGATCACACCATGCCCTCCAGCCCAGGGTACAGTGTTTTTCCATCTCAAAAAAAAAAAAAAAAAAAAAAAGAAGGTGGGAGACTTAACGTTACTCAGTATCAACTCACTTTTTAAAGCTAGTGTCACTAAGACAATGGACTGTTTGAATGGGGATAGACAAATAAGCTAAGTCTCTATTTCAGAATAGAGAGCCTCAACAGGGACCCAGATATGATAGAGAAGTGACACTGCACATTATTTAAGCCTCATTCAAGAAACAATGTAGGAATAATTGGTTACTCACATGGGGCAAAAAAGAAATTGACCTACCTCTTCACACCACACCAAGTCAAGTAGAGTGAGGACTTAAATGTGAAAGGCAAAACCTCACACTTCTAGAAAGAATATAGAACATATCTTTATAACAACAGGGTAAGATAGGTTTCTTAAGCAAAAAAGGCACTAAGGAATTACTAGACATTAAACATATATATATGTTGCCACAATTGACCACATTAAAGTATAAAGCTGCTGTTTATCAAAGAACACCCTTCCAAAAAAAAAAAAAAAAAACAAAACTACAAACCATAAACAGGAAGAAGATATTTGCTATAAATATAGTGGACAAAGGTTTCATTTAGTTTTCAAACAGATGTGTGTAAAATCCTTATGAATCAATAAAAAGACAACAGAAAATTGGTGAAAATGTGTGAATAAATATTTCTCAGAAGAAACACAAATGGCAAATGAATATATGAACAAATATCCAAACATACTGGTAACTGAGGATTTGCACATTAAAACACAATTAGATATGACTAGACTGGGGAAAATAAGAAAGCCGATGATTTCAATTATTGGCAAGAACGTGAAGCAAGAGTAATTCTCATACTTTGCAGGTGGGAGTGGGAATTGTTAGAACTACTTAAAACAGCTTGGCATTATCTTGTAAAGTGCAGATTAATTTACTCCATGAGTCAGTTATTCCACTCCTTGATATAGAGATCCTCTTACCCATCTTTTTCAGGATCCACAAACAAGAATGTTTGTATCAGCAGTCCTGTTAATCACAAGAACGATAAAACGTCTATGTTCAGAAGAATACACACGTAAATGGTGGACTATTCACATACTGGAATGCTATACAGCAATGAAGATGAATTCTATGCATTAACAGGATCTTAAGATTACAGCATTGAATTTTAAAAAACTGAATTATTAAAGAATGCATGCAGCATACCATCTATGCAAAGTTTTAAAATTACAAATATATTCAGTGGTGTATGAAGATGGTGGATATGGTCCACCCCTAAAGCAGGTAATAAAAAGGCCCATTGTTTGTAAAGAAACTGACTAAAAATCTGATTTTTATTCTCACCATAAATCAGCAATTCTGGACAATATTACTGAAAAAAATTCTTGCCATGAAAGCAGCTACTTCCAATCTCCGCTCCCCACCTTGGTATGCAACTGAATACATTCTTGGAGTTACTTATTTCTATAGAAACACTACCATGAAAGTAATGATAAAATTCAGGTGAGAGGTTTTCCTTGGAGGGAGGGAGAGGGACACACTTGGGCAACAGCACAGATGTCTTCAAAAGCATTATGCTCCATCCCTTATGTTCCTTAAACTGAGTGATTGGTACATGGCTGTTGAAATTATTAGAGACAGTCTTGCTCTGTTGCCCAGGCTGGAGTGCAGTGGCACAATCTTGGCTCACTGCAACCCTGCCTCCCAGGTTCAAGCAATTCTCCTGCCTCAGCTTCCCAAGTAGCTGGGATTACAGGTGTGCACCACCATGCCTGGCTGATTTTTGTAATTTTAGTAGAGATGGGGTTTCACCAATATGTTTCACCATATTGGCCAGGCTGGTCTGGAACTCCTGGCCTTGTGATCTGTCCCCCTCGGCCTCCCAAAGTTGTGGGATTACAAGCATGAACCACTGTGCCTGGCCGACATTATTTTTCAGAATCTGATTTGCATAATGTATCTCTTCAGTATGTAGGAAATATTCCACCCTCAAGAGAAAGAAAATTAAAGCAGCAAAATCAACAAGGGGGCAGGTGGAGGAGAAGGCACGCTACTCCTCTCTGCGTCCCATTCCCTTTGGTTCACTGTAACTGAGGGGAATTCTGCCCTCTGGGGTGGCTGGGTGGAGGGCAGCAGGGGAAAGACCCAGGGCCCAGCGCACAGAAGGTTCTTACTAGGTGTCCCTCCCACTGCAAAGCCAAGAAAGAATAAAAGGGCCGTGTTCAGCAGCCCAGGCTGAGGCACAGGGGTGCGGGGGCCTGAACTGGGGTAGGGGGACTCTGGGAAGCTTTTGCCTCCAGGCTGGGGAAGCCACGGGCCAGGATGAGGTTAATCCCAGGAAGTGCATCTGGAATGAGGTGAGGGGGCGGGGCCAAGGCCAGAGGCCCAAGAGCACCAACCTTCAAGCTGAGGCTGAGCTTGAGAAAGGTGACGCAGTGAGCAGAGGATGGAGCCCCATGCTCTGAGGAGGGCCTGGTCAGAATGAGAGGGGGTGGGGGGGTGTCACACCCTGCTGAGAGGAGAGCAGGACCCGGGCTGGGAAGGAGGCCCTGGATTTCACCATGTGGGCCAGTGAAATTGTCAGAAATTGTCAGAGCCATGTGGTGGAGGAGGAAATGAGGACAGGGAGGGGACACAGCTCTCCAGTGGGAAAAGTGAGGAGTAGCGGCTGGGAAGAGACGTAGAGTCCAGGTAGGGATCTTAAGCCTCTCTTTCAATTGTCTCTTTAAAATCCCAATCTGGTTGAGGCCCACTAGGGAGAAAAGGTGCCTTCACGCCTCTCCACAGCACCAGCAGCTCAAGCACAGCAGGTGTCTCTTGGGGCTGACGCACAGGGTGCTCTCAGAGTGGGTGGAGAAGCCTTCTGCCCCTGTGCGGGGAGCATTCTATCACTGACACTGTCTGATTGCTGGTACATGGTGATCAGAGGAAGCAAACTGACATTTAGTCACTTTTACCGTCTTTTTAAAATTCTCTACAGTCAACGCACCCTTTGTTGCCTGCACCAGGGACAGACAGCTCCTACCGCCAGCCCTTGCTAAGGCTCTAGTGGGAAGGGACCACATTGAGCCCCCAGCATCTGGGTGTGCAGCCCTGCTCCCTCCTTCTAGCTGACAGGGCTGGCGATCCTACCTCTCTGCTCCCGGTTCCCTTTGGCTCACTGTAACTGAGGGGAATTCTGCCCTCTGGGGTGGCTGGGTGGAGTACAGCAGAGGAATGACCCAGGGTCCAGCCCACAGGAGGTTCTTACTAGGTGTCCCTCCTGCATCAGGGAACAGAGGAGACAGTGACAGAGGGCCCTGAAGCGAATGCCCCACCCCCGCAGGCTTCCTCTCAGCGGGGCCTGTCCCCACAGCCCTGGAGGCTGGGCCAGAGCCACTCAGATGCAGGGGAGGTGACTGCAGCCCAGGGCCTCCCCCAGGGTCCCCAAGGAAGCACCGATGCCTGGCCACAGGGGGCAGTTGTCATGGGGATGCTGGGGCTGCTGAGCCTCCTCCTTAGCAGCGGGACTCCCAGGCCAGTTGCCATGGAAACAGCATCCCCTGGCAAGTTGTGATGGGGAACAGCCGCTGGGTTCCCTGCCCTTTTCCGGAGGACTTTCCCCTTCTGGGGCGGGAGAGACGGCACTCCCTGTGCCGCCAGGAGCTGTGGGGACTTGGCTTTTCCAGCAGTCACTCGCCGCTGGCCCCCGGAGGGGGCCTCTGCCCGTTCCTGTGAAGTCCCAGGGCCTGAGGCAACCCTCTGTAGACAGAAGTGGGGAAGGGGTCACCCGGGGACCAGACCTAGCTCCTTGAACAGCACGGCAGTGGAGAGTCCCTGCCCTGTCTCCTTCCAGAGGCCCCCAATACCACCTCTGCCCTCAGGACCCCACCAACCCACACAGGAACCCAGAGCTGTGCTCCCACCCCCCACCCCCACCCCCACCCGGTCACTTGTGTTCCCGCTTCTGAGAGCTTATCTGGTCACGCTAAGATGGCATCCCCCTCTTCAGCATCTAGCTGGATGGAGCCCAGGTGCTCATTCACCACCCTCCTCCTCCTCAGCCAGCCTTGGCTTTGGGGGGTGGGAAGGGTCTCACACCTTCCCCACTTACGCATTTCTCTTTCCACTAGCATGCTCACTCACTCTCAACCCCCAGCTTAATGACTCCCACCAGTCCATAAGCATGTGCACACCTGTGTCCACAGCCAGGCCGGGCACATCTCCCATGCACACTTCTATGCACAAAACACAGCCCCATGCTCTTGCAGGCACAGGTTTGCATGTACACTAGTGCCCACATGTGTCCCCCTGCCTTCCACAGCCCAGCTCCCAAGACTCCAGGATTCCCCACTGATCTCACCCCCATCCCCATCCCTGACCCCTAGAACAAGGTAGCATCTGCTGGAATTTTTTTTATTTAAATAAAATATACAATACGGTGCATTTACCGGTTTCTGTTTTAAAAGTGGAAGATTTGAAAATTCCTTGTGGGTGACTGGGGGTGGGAGGGCCACTGCCTGCACCTGGCTGTCCCGATCTCTGCAGAGTGGCCGGGCTGGGTCAGAGCTGTTATAAAATGCATGTGTGTAAGTAGAGGAGAGCGTGGTTAGGCCAGGCCCTGATGGCAAGGGGGATCCTCGCATCCCTGGACCCTCCATCTCCACTTCTGCTGCCTCCGGGACGAGACTGTGTTTGGATCCAGTCCTGCTGCCTCTCAGAGCTGCCTTCCTTAAGGGGAAGCGCAGTGTGCAGACCTCAGGTTGAGGCTGTTGAAGTCCTTCCAGTTCCCAGAACCTTCTGAAGCCAGCATAGTAGAGACCAGTGCTGGCGGCATCCAGTCTTTACCTAAGATCCCAGGAACCTTCACCCACCTCTCTCCTGAAGCATTGCCTCCCACTCCCTGCAGCCCATCTATGGAGACAGCCTGTCCCACATCCCAGGATAGCTCAAGGCAAAACCCGATCTTGCCAATATTCTGGCTTGGAGCATGGATGGTTCTGGATGGACATGGGATCAGCCCTTCTCATGATTTGAGGATTGCAGCCATACCTGCTCTGGCCCTATAAGCAGGGGGCAGACCCCTGACCTTGGCTCTGGCAGGATCCCATTTGGGAGAGGGAGAGTGCCTCCAAGGGCATCTGAGCTGCGTTCTCATTCCCGAAATCTGGAACCTGCTTATGGTTCCTAGTTGGCAGAACCAAGCCCAGTCAATCCCTTAGTCTGTCATCCAAGGCCGTCCCTCTGATCCCTCAGCCTGTGGATCCCCTCCCAAAGCCCTGACCCACCACCCTACAACCACCTCAGGAATATACCCGCTACACACTCCGTGCTGCCCACTGCTCCCTCCCTCTCTCCCTGTTCCCACATCTCAAGGCCTGGCTCCCACCCACCTCCATCCACACATCTTCCTTGGGCCCTTAGGGAGGCCCAGCCACCTCCTGAGTCCTGAGATTTTAAGTCTTGAAGCCCTCAGCCAAAGCTCCCTGGGCTCTCACGTAGCTCACTGGAGCAATAGGCTGGGCATATGAGGGGCAGAAGAAATGTGATTCATTGAGCACCTACCATGGTATGTGCCAGGCGCTAGGCTGGGCATTTCACATATAGATTTTTTTCATCTGGTCCTCATAGGTCCTTGTGTGGCGGTACCATAATCATTTCCATTTTACAAATGAGGTGACAGAAAGCTCAGATAACTTGCCCAAGGTCACACAGCTAAGAAGTGGCAGGGCTGGGGTCTGAACCCAGGCCTGACTGCTGCTAAAATCTGGGCTCTTCCTTCTGCACCATGCTTGGGGGACCTTCTACCTCAGCCCCCCTCAACACAGTTTTCCGTTGGAAGGAACGCAGACTTGGGCCACAGGCAGGTGTCGATTTGAACCTCAAATCAGTCCCCACTCTGCCACTCCTAGTTACATGATTCTGGAAAAATTACCCGAAATGCTCTCTTCATCGGCTAAACGGGGAGAATCCAAGTACCCCCCCCCCCATGGTCTTTACGAAACTGAAGGAGTTAATGTGTCTAAAGTGCGAAACCAGTGCTTGGCACAGAGGAGACTCGATAAACAGAAGCTCCCCTCACCTCCCACCGTGCAGATGGGAAAACTGACACCCCAGAGGTGGCGGGATGTGCTTGAGGCCCTAGGAAAGGAGAGTCTTCCACTTCCACACGGTGAGCAGTCAGGCTGGGACTGGATTTGAGACCAGAGGTGGGGAGAGAAGGGGCCTGCTGCGAAGTCCTGGGGGTCCTCTTCCCTGAGGACTGGAGAGAGAATGTCCCTAGACCATGCAGTGCGCAGCCTGTGGGCCAAGGTGGGTTGCTGGATGTAAGGTGACCTGGGCTTCCTGGCAACATGGGGTTAAACTAGATTGCACACAGGTGTGCGCACGTTGAGTGGCTATCTACACCGCTCTACAGAGCGCTACATAGCTATACATATACACATCTTACATACATATACATATGCATATTCATATACAGATCTTGCTACGTTTACAGTAGAAAAAACGCTAGGCCCTCAGGGCCCTGGCCCTTTTCTCCCAAGGTTGCAGGCATCTGAGGCTCCCCCGGGCAGGCCCCGGGGCAGCCCCTTCCTGGGGGCAGAGTGGAGCTCCAAGTCACGGCTTAGGGGCTGATGGCAGCTGTTCCTCTAAATGAACACAATGACACATCTGCTCTAGGAACCCCCAACACCAGCCTCCCCCACCCCTGCCCGGCCCCAGAGACCCCATCTGCCTTCCTCTGGCTTTTGCGTTTGGGATCTGCCTGCTCCCTCCCTCCTCCCTCCCCCCTCCCTCCCTCTAGTGCTGAGTATTAAAATAGTCTATAAAAGCAAGTGACCAAAAATCTATAGCTCTAAGAATACCTGGTTATTTTCTGCTGTCTTTTGTTTTTCTGGTGTGTGTGGTTTTTAAACGCTAATTATTACTGTTATTGGTGTATCTCCTAATCACAGTTAAACCTGAAGGAAGAAAGAAGGGAGAGAAGAGAGAAGAGGGAAGGGCCCAGATCACAGATTAGACGGCAGTTTGGAGCGCACTGGCTCAGGCCTGGCCCCAGGTTCCCTCTGGGGTCCAGCAGTCAGAGGGGGCCCCCCAGAAGAGGTGGCTCTTGCCCCAAACAAAGACAGAGGGGGTGGCAAAGAACCTGAGGATGTCTTCCGAGGCAGAGTGACGTGCTGGCCAGGGATGGCACCATAGGGCCTCCCGAGGGGACCGAGGCCCCCGCTGCTCCCACTGCCCCCGCTGCTGCCCCCGGCCCTGGGGAAGAGCGTGAAGGCAGCCACAGACTCCCCTGAGGAGTGCGGGGAGGCTCTGCGGAGAGTCTGCGCCCCATCCTGAGGCAGGGCTGGCTGAGATGCGGAGATGAGCTTGAGGTCCTGGGTGAGGCGGCCAGGGGTGAGAGGGGGCGTGCCCCGGCGCTGGGGGACCTGGGGTGGTGGAGGGCTGGATGCGGGTGGCAGGAGCAAGGAGCCGTGGGAGCCAGAGGCCCGGGGTGGGGCACTCGGGAAAGTTCTTGGGGGGCCTGGGCTGTGGCCAGGGGAGCTGAGACCTCCTCGGGAAGTAAACGCTATAGGGGAAGCGCCCCCAGAGGCCCCTGCCACAAGAGATGGTGGCTCAGGCTGCCGTGGGGGTGTCTCTGGTGTGCTTGGTAGACCAGCGGCCAGACCAGGGGATAAGTCCCCTGGAGGCTGGCCCAGCTGCCCAGGGCTAGATGATGGGGACCTGGAGGAGGGTGGGGGTGGCAGGAAGTGCTCCGGGAGTCCCAGGCCTCCCCGGGCCCCGGGCAGTGCAGGAGGTGGCTGGGCAGCCTGTGGGGAGCGGGCACCTGGCTGCAGCGGGGTGAGCAGGGGGGAGTCAGAGGAGGACAGGGAGCCACCCAGCGCCTTGTGGAAGTGGCCAAACCCAGCTGTGGTGGTGGCGGCTGCAGCGGCTGATGGTGTGGGAGCGGAGGGGGAGCCACAGGCCCCGGGGGGTGGGGAGGAGCTGGATGAGGGCAGGAGTGGGCTCAGTCCGGCGGGGGCAGAGAATCCAGCCAGCTGTTGGATGTGGAAGGAGGATGAAGATGGCGTGTCCACCTGGGATGGGCTGCTGGCGGGCGAGGCGGAGCCCAGCACAGAAGGGATCAGGGACTGCAGCCGCTTCAGATGCCTTGGCGTCTGCCCAGCGCCGAGGTTGCCCAGCCCAGGTCCTGGGGGAGGACGGAAGATGGCAGCAGGCAGGCGAGGGTGGTGGGTGAGGGCGATGGCCACAGAAGTGGTGGCAGCGGCAGCCTGCAGTGGTGCCTGGATCAGCGGGGTCCAGATGACAGGCGTGGGGGTCGGGGTGGCAGAGGCTGCGGCCTGGACGCGGTGCGCGCAGTGGGCCATCTCCCGGTCATGTTGCACAATCTGCTGGATGATCTCGTTCTCCTGGTAGTTGAACACGCCAGAGTTGAGGTCATGCTGGACTTTGTGGAGGAGGATGGAGTTCTTCTTGCCTGAGCCATGGAACAAGAGCAGGCACTCAGAGCAGAGCGGGGAAGGAGATGGGTGCAGACCTGACTTAGGCATAGGAAGCCCTGCCTAAGCCCCCCCCACTGCCAACCCACCCCACCTGTGGCCCATCCCCCTCACCGATGCGGTCCAGGCGGTCCAGCGCCACAGTCTCGAAGGCCCTTCGCATCATGGGGTACTCCTCCAGCACCTCGTTGAAGTTGTCCACACTCAGCGAGTAGAGGCGGCAGTAGGTATCGGCCCTCACACTGGCTGTGCGCCGGCCCCGGGTCAGCAGGCAGATCTCTGCCAGGACATCAGGTCTCAGGGTGGGGCATGCACAGCCTGCCCAGGCCACGGGGACTGCTCACCCTGACCTTGGTCCTGACTGCCTGGCACAGAAGCCTTGGCAGGTTTACAAGGCTCTGCCCCCAGACTGTGGCCACACCAGATGCTTCTTCCCCACCAAATGGGGGCTGGACAGTCTTTCCCATCTTTGTGATATACTCCTGCTATGGCCTGAACGTGTTCTCCCAAAATTTATATGTTGAACTCCTAATCCCAGCATGATGGTATTTGGAGGTGGGACCTGGGGAGGTGATTAGATAACGAGGGTGGAGCCCTCATGGATGGAATTAGTGCCTTTATAGGAAGAGGCCAGGGAGCCGACTCATCCTCCTTCTGCCACATGTGGACACAGCGAGAAGCGAGCAGTGCAGCCCAGAAGACGGCCCTCACTCACCCCAGCCACGCTGGCCCTCAGCTCTCCAGAATTGTGAGGCATACATTCCTGTGGTTTACAAGCCACCCAGTCTATGGCACTTTTGTTAGTCAAAGAGCCCAGACTAAGACACCTCTCTCCTGGGCTCACAGACGCCTCCCTTCCCTCCAGGCTGTGGCCACGAAGGGCGCTCACTGTCTCTGTCCCCTGGGTGTCTCCCCAGCCTATCCTCTGGAAGCAGCCGCCCTGTCCCCCGCACTCAGGGCTGCCTCACCTCCAAAGTAGGAGCCGTCGGCCAGCTTGGTCTCCTTGTTGCCCTTGGTGAGCACGCTGACCACACCGTGCTGGATGAAGTACATCTTCTTGCCGATGGTGCCTTCCCGGATGATATAGTCCCCAGGCTGGAAGACCTCGAAACGCAGCTTGGTCAGCATGGATGTCACAAAGTTGGGGTCCGCGTTGGCAAACAGTGGCATGGAGGCCACTAGCTTCCGGCAGTTAAAGTTGATGATTTCCTGCGGGACGGGATGGATTGGGACATGGCAAGGAGGAGGTGAGGGGATCTGGCTGCCAGGAAGGCCTGACTACCCGCCCTTCCGCGCCGGCCACTGCACAGCTCACCTCCCGCAGGGGCTCGCTCAGCTCGCCCAGGATGCTCTCCTCATCGAACATCTTGCCCTGGTAGCGGTGCTCATAGTAGTCATGGATGCGCTGCCGGGTGTCAGGCGGGAGTTTGTGGAAGGACATGTACTGCTCCACCTGCTTATACTGAAGTCGGGAAAAGGGAGTGTCAGCTCCGTGCAGCCAGCCCCACTGTCCCAGCAGGCACCACATCTGGGCACCCACCCTGGGGGCTTTATTGGCCAAACTTGGTTCCTTGAGATCTGAGGTCTAAGGTGTGGATATGACCTCACTGTGCTCCAAACTACTGCCCAGGCTCCTAGCTGCTTGGCATGGAGGAGGGGGCCCCACCAGCATCTGGTCCTGCATTCAATACTAAGGGGGGGGGCAGCAGGAGTGTCCAAAGCCCAGTGACAGGACACACCAATTGTATTGCCAGGGAGGTCGGTCACGTTTCCTTGAATGTTACACTGGTGACAGGGAGGCCTTGCCGACTCTGGGAGGGGGGAAACTGTTTCCTTCCAGCAGTGACTGGCACAGTCAGGAGGTGAGGCTGCAATGGGTCAGAATGCTCAGATGCAGAAGCAAGGATGCCCAGCTGCTCTGTGCCATGAATCCAAACCCAGCCTCAGCTGAGACCCTGGGTCATTCTGTTGAGAGCAACTCCAGGCAAGGGAAAAGAAGGGTAGACCAATTTGAGGGGACCTTCAAATAGAGGCTCAGGGACAGAAGATTGGTGAGCCTCAGACTCTGGGGCTCAAACAAATAAGAAACGATCCTGCCCACCATCACTGAGAGGAGTGGACGTTGCTCCCACCATCCTGGGTTGTGGCTGGACAGTGGGATTCTCAAGAGCAGGACGAGGGATGGGAGGTATTGATTAGGCAACCACACAGACCCCTCCTGGATGGGAAGTAGAGGAAGTCCCTATAACCCCAGCAGCAATCCAAAATGGGGAGGCCTGTCTACATCTGTGTGTGCTCCAAAGAGGTGGGAACACAGAACTGCTGCAGAGAAACCGCAGCACCGGGGCCCAGACAGAAGCAGCGCTGAGAAATGACATTTCCTAAACTCCTTCCAGCCACCCTGGCCTCTGACTGTGCGAAGTTATGCCAAGTCCCAGGAGACAGTGACTTCCTGGCTGGTCATAGGGGCAGAGGCAGTCGGAATGCCTGGAGCTGTGTTTTAGAGAATCCCTCCCCTGACCCCCAGAGAACAGGCAGGGGTGGGGAGGCAGGGTCTGGACTTGGGGCAGGAGTTAAAAGGTTGAAATGGTCCAGGTGAGAGACAGACATGGAGATGGAGGAGAGGGAAGACATTTAAGAAAAATTTATTGGGCAGACTTAGATATTAGCCAAAGGATAAACATTTGAAAGTCTCAAATGAAAAGCCACAGGCACCCTGAATCTGGCCCAAAAATAAACTCTGATGCTCTTTCTTTTTTTTCTTTCTTTTCTTTCTTTCTTTCTTTCTTTCTTTCTTTCTTTCTTTCTTTCTTTTCTTTCTTTCTTTCTTTCCTTCCTTCCTTCCTTCCTTCCTTCCTTTCTTTTCTTTTTCTTTCTTTCCTTCTTCCCTCCCTCCCTCCCTTCCTTCCTTTCTTCTTTCTTTCTTTCTTCTTTTATTTCTTTCTCTTTCCTTCTTTCTTTCTTTTCTTGTTAACACAGCGTCTCACTGTATCTCCCAGGCTGAAGTGCAGTGACATGAACACAGCTCACTGCAGCCTCAACCTCCTGGGCTCAAGCGATTCTCCCACCTCAGCCTCCTAAGCAGCCGGGACTACAGGCACACACCACCATACCTGGCTAGTTTTTGTATTTTTAGTACAGAGGGGGCTTTGCCATGTTGCCCAGGCTGGTCTTAAACTCCTGAGCTCAAGAGATCAGCCCACCTCAGCCTCTCAAAGTGCTGGGATTATAGGCATGAGCCACCATGCCCAGCCTCCCAGACCCTTTTCCTTTTCCTTTCTTTTTTTTGAGATGGAGTCTCCCTCTGTCACCCAGGCTGGAGTGCAGTGCCACAATCTTGGCTCACTGCAATCCTGGCCTCCTGGCTTCAAGCAATTCTCCTGCCTCAGCCTCTCTGAGTAGCTGGGACTACAGGCACTCACCACCAGGCTCAGCTAATTTTTTTTTTTTTTTCAGTAGAGACAAGGTTTCCCCATGTTGGCCAGGCTGGTCTTGAACTCTTGACCTCAGGTGATCTGCCTGCCTCAGCCTCCCAAAGTGTTGGGATTACAGGCGTGAGCTACTGCACCCAGCCCCATATGCTTTTTCTAAACTAATCCCTGATCCTGACCCCAGTCTAAATCCTAGCCTTGGTCACACACAGAGCCCTGACCCCATTCACATGCTGAGCCCCACCCCAGTCACAGGCTGGCCCCTGGTGCTGGCTCCAGAACGATCCTTTACCTTGGCCTGGGCTATGCTCTGACCTTTGTAGCTCAATGCCTTCTCTACCTCCCCTCCCGTCTGCTTCCTTCTAACTCAGGGCCCTGTGTTCCAGCCAGGCTAATTTCTCTGCCACCACACCTATGTTCATGCTCGTCCTGATGCCTGGTCCTAGACGCCTGGCCTGAAATCATGCCACGTACTTCAGCCTGGGAGAGTAAGACTCTGTCTCAGAAAGAAAGAAGACTTCTCTAAGAGGTGAGGCTGGACACAGAAAGGGTGTCAGGTGGAGAGGGGGTAGGAGAGCCGCGGATGAAAGCCACCCAGCGGCAGGAGTGGGCATGGGGAGAGAGGTCTGGCCGGGCTGGAATAAAGGGTACAGGGCCCAGGGCGGGAGCTAGGCATGAGAGCAGAGCCCCAGTTATGACCCTCAGATGCCAGGCTGGGGAAACACACTTAGGAGTTAATCTACATCTTCAGAGCAACGTGAAGTCCTGGAAGAGTTTTAATAGGATCAGTGTTTCAGATGCCGCTCCAACTGCTGTGTGAGGTGTGCTGTGCAAGGTGCCAGGGCAGAACCTGCTTAGCTCATAAACCTGGGGGAGCTTACTCGAAACCCCATGGCCTGATGCCTGGTACCACCTCCGTCCTGCAGATGAGGAAACAGGACCCGAGCTGTGGAGGTGCAGGCCCACACTCGAACAGAGTTCGGCAGTGGTGAAGCTGGGGCAGGACCCAGGCGGCCTGCCTCCAGGCCACAGGACTCATTCTCTGGGGTGAAGGGGCTGCTGTTGAGACCCCAAGGAGAGAGGAAGCTGGTGACCGGGGAGGGTGGCTGGGATGCAGAGAAGAAGCCGTGGCTTTGAGGTAGGCACTGATGACAGAGAGGCTCCTAGTCTCTGGCCTGGGCATCTGGGAAGAGCGGAGGCTTGGAGTGGAGAGGGCCGGGCAGACTTCTCATTACAGACAGGAGGGTCGACGGCTGTCCAGGGAGGCATGAAATAAACCGCCTGGGGCTGAGAGATGAGGTGGGGATGCTGACGCCACGCAGGCCCCACTGTGCGAAGATGAACACACAGCCTGTGGGGCTGGGTTGTGAAACCACAGCATCAGGGCCCAGACAGTAAGGAGGCTGTGAGGTGGAGGCCCAGCCACTGGGGACTCCAGCGCTGGTCCAGTGGAGGAGGGACCCATGTGCGGGTCCTCCCTGGGTGGGCCTACCTTTTCCTGGTATTGGCGCCGGGAGGAGTCCAGGGACTGGATAAGGGCGGTGGCGTGGCCAATGAACATGGCGTAGCAGGTGGCACCCACGATCATGCTGAGCATGGTGAGCCAGACGTCGGACATGCCCACTGGCGCCTGTCGCCCATAGCCGATGCAGAGCATGTGACTCATGGCCTTGAAGAGCGCGTAGGAGTACTGCTTCCCCCAGGAGTTGTTCTGTGGACAGACGGACGGGTGGGAGCAACGGATGAGAGGGAAGGTCCTTCTCACTAGCAAGCGAAGTCCCTGCCACCTCCTCCCCTCAACCTAACTTTCTTGGTGGCTGGGCCCAGGGCTCCCTGAACGTGCTGTTGGCTGAAAGCCCTGGGTGAGGGGCAGGAGGCCCTCAGAGGCAGCCTGTGCTGCCAGCGAGTCCCCCACTTGCACCTTCCTCTTACAGTGGGGGCAGGGATCGGACTGGAAGCCCCAGTAAAGGTATGGGAGCCAGTCCCTTCTCTGGCCTCCATGTGTCAGCTTGGCACTTCCTGGCTGGGTAGCAGAGGCCCGGGGCTGAGCCCCCTGCTGTCCTGCCCTTGCTAAAACAGCTCCATCCCCACCCCCTAAATAGCCAAGTGAAGCCCATTTCCCCACTGACCTCAATTATAAAACCAGATATGCTTCCCCTGGGGGACAAGCTCCGGCAGACTCAGCCGAAAAACACTGTCCTCATTTTGGGTGAGCAAAAGTCAACGCTGTGAGCTAACTGGCCTCCTGCAGGAACCCTGCCTGCCTCTGCCAGGGCTGTGGCCACCAGTTCTCCTCCCACTACCCCCAAGGCAAATTCTCTGGAACACACAAGGCGTGGGGACAGGAGGAGGGAAGCTCTTGGCTATTTTTGTCTACAAAGCCAGTCGGTGTCTCAAGGAAGGCTCAGCGTGGGAACACTGGGACCGGAAGGGCCATCTCTTGAATTTAGTGCATGTGTGGGCCTGCCATCCTCACACAGAGAGGACACTGCCCCAAATGAAGGCCAGCTGAACCAGACAGATGCACCGGCCACCTCGATGGTGTCTTTCTGCTCACAGGGCAGGTGCATGAGCCACAGTGCAGAAGCCTACCCAGGGACACAGAGCACCTGCTGAAGGCCCAGCCCCCGGGGGAAGGCCCAGGAGCCCGTGAGCCTCAAGCCATGTTCAAGGTCACCCAGACTGCCCTGAACGGAGCTGAGCTGGCTCCTCGGGTCTGGTGGCTCAGTCCAGACTGGAGTGGGGGCCAGCAAGGTTGATCCCCAGGGGTGGAAGGAGCCTGGGTTCCCAGCCTTGGGGAACAGGGGCAGGCCCCCAGCGCCCTCCAGTCAGGACTTCCAGCCTTTACTGCTGAGCCTCTGGGAACCTGGAATTCAATCCATGTGGCCGATTCATTTACACTTAGCTCATCAAAAGGCTGTTTTGTAAAGGCCTGTTAGATGCTGAAAGACGCCTCAGGGTCTCTTTCACCTCTTTCAAAACCGATTCTCCTCCCCTGGGGCCCTGGGAATTTGCCTTCAAACCAAACCAAACTGACTGGGAGGCAGCCTGGGAGAGTCAGGGGTCCACCAGAGACAGAGAAAGGCTCACAGCTCCGGGGGTCTTCCGTCCTGCCTGGAGCCCAGCTCAGCCACAGGGGGATTGGAAACTCTGCCCTATGGCTTCCGAGGCCCCAAGTCCAACTTCTCTCCTGCACCCTGACCCACTTGCAGGGTTGTAGAAATAGGGTAGGGTCAGGCTTCATCCTGCCTGCCCTCCCCATTGGGACTCCACCTGGGACCAGGATATGCTGGCGGGTGGGGGCAGCCCAGCTCTGCTGGAGTAGAAAGTGGCCACGCATGATTCTGGGAGCCTGTGTGGGCTGCAAATAGGATCCTCGAACGTGTGTTTTCTTGGGCTCTTATTTTTTTTTAATTTTTATGTATTTATTCATTTTGAGACAGGATCATGCTCTGTCACCCAGGCTGGAGTGCAAGTGAGCTCAAGAGATCCTCCTGTATAGCAGACACATGTGCTTGCCACCAGAGCCGGCTAATTTTTATAAAACAAATTGTATTTATTTTTCATAGTCAGGGGTCTCCTTATATTGCTCAGGCTGGTTTCCAATTCCTGGTTTGAAGCAATCCTCCTGCCTTGGCCTCCCAAAGCGCTGGGATTACTGGTATGAGCCACTGCACCCAGCCTTAGGCTCAGCTTTTCAGGACTTGGCTTCTAAGGGGCAGAGGCAAGAGGGCAGGTGCTGCCAGCCAGCATTGCCACACCTGATACAACCCGAAGCTGCCCAGGTCTTAGTCTCCCTGGGCAAAATCAAGGCCAAATATTGAGGCTCCCAGTTGCAATGGAGGCTGTGAGAAGGTGGAGATACCAGCTCCCAGACCAGAGCTGTGACTGGATTCCTGGACTGGCAGCACACGATTGGGCCTACACCGGGTAGAGCTACGTGCCCCTAGGCACCGGGTGGCACTCAGCCTCCTACATGCTGGAACTCAGAAGTTCCAAGCCCACATCTCTCCTCCCTACCTCTGGAGAGCTCGTCTATGGCCCAGAGAGAGGGCCGTGCTCGGCGCACTCACCACCATGTTGTTGATGGACACCCAGCAGTCGTCAGGGAAGTCCTGCAGCATGGGCACCAGGAACTGCAGGCAGCCATCCCAGTGGCAGAGCAGAAGCATCATGCCGATGAGGTTCACAATGCGCACCACGGCACTGGCCAGGTCGTACGTCATGTGGAAGATCTGCCGGCAGAGGAAGAGAGGTTGGCCGGGATAGGTGAGCAGCCAGGAGGGGCAGCGGCCCCTTTCCCTGCCCTGCAGCTGCTTGTGGGCACCACTCTGCACAGACTCCACAGGGAACCCACTCGGTGCAAGTCCAGGCTGGGGGTGGGTTGGAAAGGCATCACTCCAGGCCCCGGAATAGGAAGACTGCAGGCTGCAGGGTCCCAGAGGGACATCTCCTAGCATCTGTACAGAAGGTGGTGGTGGGGAGAATCTTCCTGTAAGGTCTAGCCATCCAGGACATGTGGAAGGACACCTGGAGCCCCATGCAGCCCAGAAGTGGGCAGAGAAGCCACTTCCTCAGCTTGCCTGGGGTGTGAGGACACCAGGGAGAAAAGCCTCCCAGCCTGAGGCTCCTCAGGGAACCAACATGTGCAGACGTGCCAGGGGCGTATTTCCCTAAATCTATCACTAAATTCTCAGGACCCACACAGGGTAGACATGGAACTGCAGAGGAAGCAGCAAGGCTCAGGTCCCAAGTTCAGGCAGACCTTGACCCCAAGCCCGGGTCTTACTCAGTTCCTAGCTGTATAACCTTGAACCTCTCTGATCATGTTTTCTCATCTGGAAAATGGTGATAAAAATTCTTATCTGAGTAGGTTGTCAAAAGGATTAAATTATACATATAAAGTGCTTAGTAATGGGTAGAGGAGTGTTCAATAAATTACAAACCATTATTAATTGAAAAGTTGTGATTAATAATTAATCTTCATGATTGGTTAATATGTCTTTGGGGTGATACTCTCCTTTATAGCACCTCAACGCCAACCACCACCATCAGCCCCTCTCCACTCCTGCAGCTCTGAGTGGGGGCTGCACTGTAGCTGGGAAGGGCCAACGTGGGCATATCCCCACCCACCTCCAAAGCTACCATGCCGGGGTCTCCTTGGTGACAGGGCAGTGGGGGATGGGGAGGTGGAGGCAAGTCTAGAGCAAAGTCTCTGGAAGTTCTGGCCTGGCTTCTGTGGCCTGGGAGACTTTGGAATGGCTCTAGCCACCTAACCCCCATTCTGACCCCTCCATACTATTTCCAGGCAAAGACATCCGTGTTGGAGGGGGGCTGAGTCCAACGCCACAGAAACCTAGCTGAAGCCCATTTCAGATGTAGAAATTAGGCCCAAAGAGAAAGAGCCTAGAAATGTCAGCCCCTGTCTGCTGGTCTTCCAGCTCCAGCCCTATAGCTAGTGGCAGGATATTCTGATACTAGTGACCAAAGATGAATACCTTTTGTCCACAGCCCATCACCTGCAGTCACGCCCACCTGTGGCCCCCATCGAGGGCATGACCCCGAGTGTCCCAGCTGCAAAGCTGAGTCTTTTCAGCATGAAGTAGATAGCAGAAGGTTCGTGGGGTATGGTAGCTTAAGCTTTTCCCATCATTACCCCATGACCCTGGTGACAGAGGGGACAACAGTGCCACACCTGACTGTGGAAATGAAATTCCACAGCCATCCTCTATTTAAACTCACAAACATCCTTTGCTGAAGATCTTGTTCATCCATTTTATACCAAGGCTCAGAGAAGTAAAGGAACTTGCCCAAGATGATGGTGGCAGTGAAAGGGCCAGATGTTGTAGCCAGGTCTGCCCGATTCTGAGGCCTGTAGCCACCATATTAGATTATTAGATTAACCTAGTGAGGAAAGGTAGCTCTCAGTAGTTCCGTTTTGTGGATAAAACAACTCAAACCCAAAGTGGCTGAATGATGCACCCAGATTCAGAGCAAGCTGGACCAAAGGCCAGGCAGGACTTCCCAGCTTCTCGCCTCCCCAGGCCCTGCATTCAGTGCTATGATTGGATGGTGCTGTGTGCCCTGCAGCCCAGCACCACTGGGGCACAGACCAGCTCTGGGCTGTCAGCGTCTGAGCTCCTGACTGCATCGACACCGCTCAGCCTCTGCCATGGCCTGGAAGGAATGGTGGGCGCAGGAGGGCAGGCTGGTCTGTGGCTGGGCTGGGGCCTGGTCTGGGACGCAGAGCAGATCTGAGTACAAAGCTGGGGTCTCTGGTCCATTCTCTGTGGCTGCACTCAGGGACCTAGATCCTGAGGCCCTGAGGCTCTCCCCAGAGGTCCCTGAGCATCAGAGCCCCCAGCACAAGCCTAGGGGAAGATCCCACTTTTACCTCCGTAACGCTTAGGTGGACTTGACATGTCTGTGACCTTGATCAAATCCTAACCTTTTTGCCTTGGCTGACCAGGATGCCACTAGCTCCCCAGCTTGTCCAGCCCCCTGGTGTGTGAGCTAAGACACCAGGCGTTTGGGGAGGGTGAGCAACACAGGATCATTCAGTCTCAGAGCCAGCCATCCTCTGCACCCACCTCCCCACCACGCCGCCTCAGCCTCCCCAACTCAAATAAGCTAGACATGTGACTCCGGCTTTGCAAGGCTGCTTGTGAATTAAACTAGCTAAGAAAGAGCTCTGGGTACACCCACCATAGACGCAGGCTGGGGTCATTATTATTAAGCACCTTCACCTCCCAGCCACTGGGACTGCACCTGTGTCCCTCCCAAAGTCCTGTGTTGAATTCCTAATCCCTGATGTGATGGCATTTGGAGATGAGGCCTTCAGGAGGTCATCAGGTCATGAAGTTGGCACCCTCATGAGTGGGATGGATGCCCTTATATAGAGACCAGACGGAGACGGTCACTCTTTGTCCTGTGAGGGCACAGAGAAAGGCAGCCATCTATAAGTCAGAAAAAAAGGACTCACCGGAAGCCCCTGTGCTGAGACTCTCAACCCAGACTTCCAGCCTCCAGAGCTGTGGGAAGCAGTGTTTGTTGTTTCAGCCCCACGGCCTCTGGTGTTCATGTTGCTGCAGGCTGAGCTGACTGAGACAGCAGCCTTCAGAACCCAGCCCTCTGCCACAGAGGGGAAAGCAGCACAGGAGGCCAAGGACGCTGAAGGCACAGATGGGGGCCTGTGGGGACAGGGCGGCAGCCTCCCCGAGGCACGGGGCCGAGTGCTGAGCTGGGGTAATGAGGCAGGCCTGCCCCAGCATTGGAGAGTCCAGGACAAGAGGTAAATCAAGTTCCACAAGCCACAGATTTGGATGTTTAAAGTTGTAAGTGAAGCCAACAGACTGTTAAAGGAAATATATTCCATCCTCCTACCTTGACAAGAAGGCACCATCATACTGCCCTGGAGGGCTGGGCTTGAAATGAGAACTCTTAGAAAATCACACCAGAGCACACCCCACCACCCTTCTCTTCCCTGACTGTGTCCCCCAGTGGGGGACCCTGGCCCACAGCCAAGCTACATCCATGCCACTCCTATGAACAGCCACTTGTAAGTGGGTCAAGGGGTGGGCACAGAGGCAGGACAGTCCCCTCAGGATGCAGCCTGGGAAGGGGCCTGCTCAGGCCCTGGCAGCAAGCTTAGAGGTGTCTGTGCCAGGAATGCAGGGTACCCAAGTGTGGTCAAGAGTTGCAAAGAACGCCCCCCTCCCCCCGATCAGACTCCTCACTGTGGGGAGAGGAGCCCTTTGGAGTGTGGGCCAGCGGGGCCCTTCTTCCCTGGGGCTTGGGGCAGTGCCCTCAGAGGGACCCAAATGTCTATGTCATGCCTCCGGAAGTCAGCCTGTGTCAGTGCCCAAGAAAGCCCCCCTCCATATGGGGGTCAGGGAGAAACGTCTTGCCCTTGCTTGCCCAGAGCTCACAGTCTGGCTGGGGAAGGAAGCCACACCCAGGAAAGGGACTCGGGAACATGTGTGTAGAAACCCAGCAACAGAGGAAGCCAAGCAGGGCACACTGGGGAGGTCAGGAGAGAGGCCGGTCCAGGCTGTGAGCACCCCCAGCCCAGATGTTCCTGTGGGGCTGGACAGCACAGCTGGTGGCAGAGCCCACAGCCACAAGCACACCATTCACCCACCCCGGCAGCAGGCATTCTGCTGAAGGTTTCTTTAGCTGCTGAGGGTATCAAAGTCTAGGGCATCTCTGGAAACACCCTGACTGGGGTCTCCCTGGCTGAGGGGCACCCCAGGATGCAACTGTGTTGCCCCTATCACAAGGGGCTGTGGAGCTTGGCAATGCTCCTCCTCTGATGAAGGTGACCTTCCCTGTGCTCCTTTCAAGCCCTGGGACACCCCCAGTTCCTTGCTTCTGTCATGCCTGAGACACGGGTGGACTCTAAGAGTGACACACATGGACTCATATGTCCAGCTGTCTCAGTCTATCTGTACATGGACACATCATCCAAAAACTGTTTCCATCTCACAGCTGGTGTTGCCGTTCATGAGGCTGAGTGACAAAAGCCCACCAGCCAGCCATGAGTCTCTCACCCCTCCCCACATCCCATCCACCAGCAATCCAGGTCCTTTAGGCTCCACTGCCTAAATGGACATCTCAAAGCCATCTATTTCCCTCCAATCCCAATATGACCCCAATCTAAACACCCCCAAGATAATGGCCCCAACCACTTGATGAGGCTTCCCACCCCTCCAAGCCATTCTCAACCAAGCATCTAGAAAGACCTCTTGGAGATATAAATCAGATGATGTCACCCTCTTACCATAAACCTTCCAATGACTCCCCACTGCTGTGGAGTGAATATGCTCCAACTGTCAACTGTGGCCCTCGGCGTCCTGGTCCCCAACTACTGGCCTCCCCGACTCTGCCCCAAGCCATCTCTGGCCACAGTGGCCTTCATTCATGTCCTTAAAGCCTCAGGCCAGTGCACCCTTACCCCAGGGCCTTGGTACTGACCTTGCTCTTCCATCTGCCTGCATGTTGCCTCCAGCTCCTTCTTGTCATCCTGTCTGGGCTCAGAAGCCACTTCCATGGGAAGGAAGTGTCCTTCCTTCCCCATGTCCTTCCTTCCCCATGTGTCACACAGCCAAGGGCCCTCCCTTCCCATTCTCACCATGACTCTTCACCCTGATATATTTCCTTCCTGGAGTTCTCACCATCTGAAATGACATTCACCGACTGTGTGCTGCTGCACGAGGCAGGGCTCTTCTCTATTTCT